ATGATAAAATCAGTTTCTACAAAGTGATGAGTGACGCTCAGGGCTACAAACATATTCATTTTGTGAAAGATGTAAGTATATTTGAATTACATACACATTCAAAATATACTGCACTATAAGTCATCATGTCTTCTGAGTTGAGTGTCATATTCCCTCATTGTGTGAAGGGCAAAGCGGCACCTATTACCTCTGGGAAGTGGGAAGTCATCTACATATCCAAATTAACGAAAGATGCCATGTAAGTGATGATGTCATACATTTCTGGCAAAACTGCATAGCATGATATTAATTCAATATACCTAAATCTGACTTTAACTTCAACTCTTTTCAACAGATATTTTATTAGTAATCAGAACCAGGGAATACCCGTGAAGAGAGACGTGTACAAGTAAGAAATTAGTGTTATATGTGTGATTTAATCTTGAATTCAAGGAATACTAGCAGACACATTTGACCGACATGAACTGTTTGTTTATCAGGGTTTTGATTGGAGGCAGCCCCTCCACTCCTCAGTGTCTCTCATGCGGCCTGCATAAGGACAGGTGTCAGTACAACTCTGCTTACTTCAGCTTTGACGCCTCTTTCTACCGACTGGACTGCTACGGTCAGTTACCCAACAACATTTCCTCTTAAGCAATAACTCATTCACACTCAATGTGTTGTGGTGGGCAGCAGCTGTGATCTGAGACTGCTAAAGTCATACAGATGACTTGATGTATAATCATCTGTTTTTGTATTTTCTATTCTTGTCTTCACCAGGACCTGGGTTGCCCCTCTACTCGCTGGTGGACAACAGGGGCTCCGGTGCAGGTCCGTAGACGTATTGTTGCCCATTGTTGAATTCCTTAAAGCAATTGTATCACTTTACAGTTAAGTTATATTGTCATCTGACTTTGTGTAACTCACACATTTGCAAACACGGAGATTCATGATTATTTCTTTATGCTTATTATTCATGAAATAACACTGTACTCATTACATATATTAATATTATAAACCGGATCAGGTTCTGGTCTTGTAGAGTAACAACAAAATGACACACATCTGTTTTTCATTGTTAATGCTACTCTCAGTGTCAATTCTTCATATCTTGCGACCGTAAATCTAGACAAGTTCTACATTGTAAAAGGAGAAATATTTTTGATATTCGATTTTGAATAAGGTTGTTTTGCACATCAGTCAATTTTAGTATGACATTAGCCATTCAACTATATTTTTCAGAGCTCTCTGTTCTTGAGGAGAATAAGGGACTGGAAAATATTCTGTCAGAATTCCAAATGCCAACAATGAAGTATGGCACGCTGAAGATTGCGGGATATGGTGAGACGATACTGTACATTTCCATTTGTCTGTTTTTTCCACACATAGAAAAAAAAATATATATATACAGTCATACTTTTTTGTGTAGCTTTTAAGATTCCTCGTTAAAGTTGCTTGAGCTTCATATTGGACCATGAGTAAGTAAACCATACACCATAAGTAAAACATAAGTAGTGAAGAAAATCATGCTTGTGCGAACACATCTTAAAAAATGTAAAGGGAGAACAGAGAAATGGTAGTCTTCTAGTGTCTCTCTCTGAACATGCACAGTGAAACACCAAGTGAAGACATTCAATCAATAAAATATTTATCATACGGGAGGATACTGTATACTGTATATGAGGTTTTACTTTTAAAGAGTGACTGTACTGGTGATAAGTATTGAAGTATTTAGTTGTAACTGTTGGACATTCGACCAAAACCATGACATTTAATGGATAGGACATTTTATATTTGAAACATATGTTTGTCTTTTTTTAAATGTCACATCTTTTTTTTCACCTGACAGATCTTTGGTATCAAATGATGTTACCACCAAATTTCAAGAAGTCTAAAAAATATCCTCTTCTCATTGATGTGTAAGTTAAAACACTCAATGCTCCATACCAATATAATTCATTGGAAATTTAGAATACAGAATAATTGATGATAAAATGCTGACCTGTGCAGGTATGGGGGGCCCTGTAGTCAGCGGGTGGACTATCGCTTCAAGCTGAACTGGGGAACGTACCTCTCCAGCTCACACGGCATCATCGTCGCCAGCTTTGATGGAAGGGGAAGCGGTTACCAAGGAGACGAAATAATGCATTCAATCTACAAGCGCCTTGGGACGTACGAAGTGGAAGATCAGATATCAGCTGTGAGGTAAAGTGTGTCCAAACATTCAATCACCTCATGTCATATCATATACACTGTAAGGTGATATCATTTGGTGGCTGATTAGCGATGTCATTTGTTCATAAAGAATGTATAACAAAGGTTTGGTTCAATGGATATCCAAATACATGTCCAGAGTCTGCTGTTTTTGTTACCTAATAAATTATTTGTGTGTTGTAGGAAATTCATCGACATGGGTTTTATTGACAAACAGAGAATAGCAATGTGGGGCTGGGTAAGCCGCTATATTTATTTTTCATTGACCTGAAATGTAATCCAATGTCTTTTGCATTTAATAAATATCATCAACTCTTACCTTCAGTCCTATGGTGGTTACGTCACCTCAATGGCCTTGGGTGCTGGAACTGGACTCTTCAAGTGTGGAATAGCAGTTGCCCCCGTGGCAAAGTGGGAATATTATGGTTGGTGTACAAAGCACTATATTCCTCTTGTCACGTGATTACCACAGCGTAATTTAAAGAGTACTTAACTGATTTAGCATCACACTTTTATAACATCATTCAAAAAGTAAAAATCATGGAGCAGCACCAGAGATATCATCTTTTCGTCCCATGAAACCTTTTCCCTCGGCAAAACCTGGTCATTATTTTATCCACAAAGCAGCCCCACCACCAGCAGTTTGACTAGAGATTGGGATGTGTTTGCTAGTGCTAGCTACCGTAGCCTCTTGCCTTTTTAGCCCCAAAAAAAACACACTAGTGACAAGACTTCAATGTGTAGATTCCTTTGAGATTCAAATGTCTATTTCAACTCTGAATCATATTATTGAATTGTTTATTTTGCAGATGCAGTGTACACTGAACGCTACATGGGGATGCCTGCAGATAATTTAGACTCCTATGAAGTAAATTTCCCACGAGTCAGCATAATCACTATGTTTTTTTTGGCTTGAGTGTGTTTATAAAAGCAACATTTTCATTATTTCTACAGAATTCTACAGTGACAGCTAGAGCAAAGAACTTCAAAACTGTAGACTATCTTCTGGTTCATGGCACAGCAGATGGTACGTTTCATCCGAATACTCTTTTCTCCAGCTTCTGAGCATGTGATAGCACTATTTCTCAACAGTGTACACACTAAAGCCTTGCACGAATGGACCCTTTTAGCCTTGAGCTTTGGTGTTAAGTCACGTATTGAAAGCACTGTCTTTCCTGTAGATAATGTCCATTTCCAGCAGGCAGCACAGATCTCCAAAGCTCTGGTGGAGGAGGAAGTGGACTTTGAGGCGATGGTAAATATTGGCTCAGTGAAGTGAGAAGTATTGACTTAATGGTGTTGATTTCATGAGAAATAACGGCCATGTGGTATTTTACAAAGTATATGCACTCATCTGATTCTCCCGTTGATTTCAGTGGTACACTAACAAGGACCACGGACTTAGAGGATCAGCCCACCATCATACATACAACCTCATGAGCCACTTCCTGCAGAAATGCCTTGTTAAGCCCAAATAAATGTGAAAAATGTGACAACATTTATGGTGACAAGACTTTCTTATTTCTAATGTTTATTTTATTTTATTGTATTAATATTCTGAAATGTCAGGTCAAACTATGTACATTTGTTTTTTGTATGTGCAATGGATGTTTGATTGCTCATACATGAGCATTCGTATTTTATGTGGACTTAGGGAACATTTTTCTGAATATCTGATATTATAAACATTGTTAAAGCCTTTGCATGCATTCATGGTTGAAATTAGGCTTTTTTTATGTGAATATGATGTCATTCAATATATTTGTTTAAATGTGCATTCATGTCCTGTTGAATAAACATTGTTTTATACAACAGTTTCATTAGTTAGATTTTTCTCTCGATCACATGATTTAGTCACATAATCTTCCTATTTTACACATATACTACAATTCAAAAATAATTCTATTGTCTCTCTAAATCAGAATCAGAATATCTTTATTAGTCCCACAGAGGGAAAATGTACATTGCTAAAGCAGAAAAGAGCAAAAGACAGCTTAATGTTACCTAAGAAGCAGGCATAACAAAAAAAGATTTAAAAAAGATTAAAGTAAAAAAAAAGTTACACAACTTACAAAAATCACATCCTGTAACAGTTCTGAGGATTTAGCAGCCAGATATATTTTGAACAGTTATTAACGGTATATATAAACATACATACATACATACATACATACATACATACAATATATATATATATTGCAACGCCAGACATGTTTTAGTTTAATCTTGTCAATTTTTCAATCAAGTTTTAAAGATCATTTCTCATTCAAGAGATGTGAAGAGAATCCAGGATTTCCTTAAAAATAAAGCTTTGCTGTCTGCACATGATTAACACAAAAATAGTTTTTTTCTGACACTAAGAGAGAAAAAGTCATTTCAACACATTTGGATGCCAGTATTTGTCAGGGTAGAGGTCATGTTTGATTGTGACACCTGAAGTAGCAGCTTTTACAACAAAGTCAAATACGTTCAGTGGACTGAGAGGGAAGCTGACTAATGGGTTGAGAGTAACAGAGGATCTGCTGAGGTCTCAGTGACGGGGGAGTCACCTGGGAGAACGCTCCTCAGCTCCACTATATAAGACTGAGCAGATCAAGAGGGGACCATTAGATAGCTTCAGAGAGAAGAAGGGCAACCATCAACGCATTTTACAATCCTTCTCTGACACTCCACAGAAAGGAGCACAGGTGAGCATTTTTGACCCTTCCTATCTTTAGACATCCAATCTGTGAGGTTTTATTTATTTTATGCTGTATTGGAACTTTCTCAAAGTGTCTTTATCTGCTAATTTTTCAGAAGCTCAAACAATGAAAAGCATTCACTCTTTGGCTGGATTCCTGCTCCTCATCATGATTCAAAGCAGCTGGCAGGTGCCTGACCAGGACTCAGACCGAAACCAAATGTAAGATCAGCTCTCAGCTTTGTCTCATTCACATCAAATTCACATCAAAAAATCCACTATCAAGTATCCTTTATGAGAAGAACAATAACGTCTTTAAGTGTATTTGGTGAAACGAAACTGAAGCAAATGTCATAGCTATCAACCAGATTTAAACAGAATGTAATGCCTCCTGACACTTTTTATTTAATTCATCTTTCTTTTTTGTCTTTATTTCTTGGTTGAGATAGCTTCAGGTAGCCTTAATATGCTACCTTAAAATACTACCATTGACATCAGAGGAAAATGATTTCCAGTGCAAAGAGACCAAATGTAATTAAAATTATGTAAATGTTAATTCTTAAAGAGAAAACCAGTAGGAACAGTTATTTTAGTTTCCATAGGAGATTATGTGGGTTTTCTTTACATTTAGTTTGTTGTTTGATTTAACTTATTGCCTTCCTTTAAGTGTTTTTGCATGTATTTGATTTTAATATTCATAGGTTTTAATTCAAATATGTTGTCATCTGTTGCTTAATAGACGCTATATGACTTTCTCATGCAAAACTATTGCAGTGTTTTTTAAATCTTTTAACCATTCAATTTCACAAGCAAGGATACCAGCATTAAGAAGGTACACATTTACAGAAATAATGCTTATTCCAAAATATATAAGATCATTGCTGGTTCAGGGCGATGCAGCAGGATAGTTGTGGTGTGGTGATACTTCAGATAGAGAGAGAAAAAAGGCAGGGAGACAATGGACATGAAAAATGGTGGTGTGTACTATAGAGGACGTGGAGTGTTGGAGAGGATATTTTGTCAACTTTATCACTCTTCATTATTCCCAGGCTATTGGCTGAAAACTCCATGCTGGCCGAACCCATTGAGCTCCCAAACATCAAGAGGCATTCGGAGGGAACATTTTCCAACGACTACAGTAAATATCTGGAGACAAGAAGAGCACAAGACTTTGTCCAGTGGCTAAAGAACTCAAAAAGGAATGGGTGAGTGTGCCCTCGTCTTACCGGACCGCTACAACTTTGTGTCATAGTAGGAACTTGAGTGGAAATAGTTATACCTAACAAGTTTGTTTTCAATTATATTAAAACTGTATGTATCTGGTATTGGATCAGACAACACAATTATATTAAAAGTCATTGTGTTTCATCTACAGGAGCGTATTTAGACGCCATGCAGACGGCACCTACACCAGTGACGTGAGCTCCTACCTGCAGGACCAGGCGGCCAAGGAGTTTGTGTCCTGGCTGAAGACCGGCCGAGGCAGAAGAGAGTAAACTCAACAAATCTCCCTAAATAATGCAGCAACTCACACCGACCCTGTGCTACTATATGTTTCACAATCTGTACTAGCCTTTTTTCTTGGTCCTGCTATTAAATTCCCTTCATACAAAGCTCTGTTGGCCTTCAGTGGTTGGAGGAAATGTTGTTCAAATGCAAGAAGTATGTTTGAAATGTGTCTCAATCATAAATGCTGTGTGACTTTATATCAAGCATTCATATCACCGTTCATTTTGTTCCCCTTTTGGCATTTTCATCTTCCTTCTCACTTAAAATGTGTATGTTACAATCAAATTACGATTCTGAATTGCTACTTCCATAATTACACCTGTAGATAGTCTCAATACCTTTTCTTATGATTCAGATAAAAGTCATATTTAGTTTTCAATAAAGAAATGTGTACAATCAATCAATGGACTTCCCTCTTTTAACAATGAATCCATTTTGATATATTGGTTTGACAAGGATCTACATCTCAGTGCGTACATGTACATCTATAAATCCACATATCAGAGAATACATGAATATTGGTCACAGAAAAATAGACTTTTAAAACTTTTTGTTGATTCAACAGTTCTGAAGAAGCAGTTTAACTCCCACATAATTGATTATGAAAGATATAATAAAACATGTTGAGCGCCTTCATCAGCTATTCTTCTGTTTATAGAGGCAGAACAAAAGTCCTTTAACACGTCACTCCCCAGGGAGGAACGTGCTGTGGGATTTGGTTTGAGGATGATGTGCGTCACCTGTCAGCTGTCACTGGAGAAGGATCTCCCAGTGATGCTCTGACAGCACACCTAGGAGGGTTATACTTAATGAAAGAACATTAAATCACGTCAATCAGCTCAAACTTGTTCTGAACAATGAATGGGTCGACACTCTTGACTTCTTCCTGGCGCTCAGACAAAACAGGAATTCACATGAGCCAGCAGCTTGACATGCTTTGGGATGTCTCTGAGCTGTCATCCTTAGCACATCAAACCATCTGTTGATTGTGGGAACCTCTGCCCACTTCCGTCTATTTGTATGCCAAATCTCTGAGGGTCCGACATTTATGCTGAGCAGCAAAGATACTGGATGTTTCTATCATGTCATCCCCCTATGCAGGTATGACATCAATGCAGAGTGTGATGCAGCATGTGTATTCACCTAATCCAGTTTCTATGATGTGATTTGAGCCAATTTAATGAATGAAAGGTTTTGTAGCGACTGATCAAGCGATGTTAAACAGCTTTCTATGTCACTTTATTATAAGGGTGCGAGAACATGTTTAATGCCTAGAATTAGTTGCATGAATGAATGCATAAGGAGTTCCTGTTGCTCACCTTAATGGTATGTGAGTGGATGTGATAGGTTCATGCTTAATGGAGTATCGTTTTCAGAATTGAGATTTTTCTATAATGATATCAATTTAACTGTGAACATTTGAGGCCATTGCGTTTGATCATCCTTTCTGTAAAACGAAGCTGTATGTAAAAACATTTATATACATGACCCCGCTCTGTCACATTTACAAACTAGAGGTATTCTTAGTGATAGTAGCGATCATACTAACTTTATCATTAATGCATTAAACCATGACTCATGCAATGTAGCCTTATTATTAGCGATGCATGAGTCATACTGTATCTGCTAGTATAGTTTGCACCCAGCTTTCCATTATTGCAGTGCACACACTATTAGTTTTGAGTCTATTTGTATTTCTTTATTCATTTAAAATGACATTGACAGGATATGCATAATAAGCCCATCCCTCGTCCTTCACAAACACATCTCTATTACAGTATGATCATCAGATGTTTAAGTATATTTATTATGAATCTTTTAAATTCATGTTTCAATAAACTTTTTACTAAATGTAAACAATTTATGAAAACTAAAATGTACAATTACAATATGCGCAATACACTGACGATGACACTAGGAGGCAGAATACTGTAAATCTGTTAGAATACAAGGTAATCTGTAGTAAACAGTCATTTTCTTCCACAACATAAAGATATATAAATATTTCTCGTATAGATATTGACATTGAGTATTGACATTTTGGCAAAAAGTGCTATTGCATTTGGTCTATCAGGGTCTATTGCCCATTAATCCCATAACAGCACTCCGTCAGTCACAAAAAGCTTTATATGATTGTACGCGTCTAGTATGGCTTTTCACAAAGTTATTACTTTATATCTTTAAGGTCAAGCATGACCATATGCTTTTAAAATATTCACTAAACTTTTAGACATATTTTACATCATAACGTCTATGGAGATAAAGGAAAATAGGGAATTGGTGAATAAATACATAAAGAAAACAAGGATAAAAAAATGCAAATTGATCCAATAAGAAAAACTTGAAAACAGCTACAGTATGTGAGCAAAAAAATCTTTTCAAATGTAGATTAATAAACTACAATTTGACAACACAATAAAATATGAAATTTCACTGGCTCTTGAAGAGGCAGATTATTTGTGACACATTAGATTATACAGTTATTCACTTATTTAGGGCTGCTCAATTAATCGTATTTTAATCGCAATTACGATTTTGGCTTGCAACGATTATGAAAACAACATAATCGAAATAAAACGATTTTCTTTTGGTTTTTCAGTTGAATATACTTAAAGTTCAGGGTAATCAACTTATAAAAACATACTGTTCACATTTTTCAATAAATGGATGTTTTCAAAGTAAATGGATAATCGTTTATAATAATCGTGATGTCAATTGTTGACCCAAATAATCGAGATTATGATTTTTGCCATAATCGAGCAGCCCTACTTACAGTACACATACAATTTTCAAGAATAAACATAAAGGATTGATTAACGGCATACAAATAGTTGTTTACAAGATCACCCAGTGACAAAGATCCATCTTCTTCATCTTAAAATGATCCTTCATGGAAACCAGTGTTGTGAATACTGTGACTGTTCAGTGAACTCTGAGATTCAAAGAAAGAAAGTATAGATGTTAAATTAGAATAAATATACTAGTCAAGTAGGCTGCTGCAACTAAAGAGGACTTGTTTCAGTCACTGTTACAGTATGTAGTGACATCAGTGTCAAAATACTCAGTTGCAAGTAAAGTTACTGTAATTAAAAGTATACAAAGGTTACAAATCCAGAAATATTATGAGCAAAATGTAATTATCAAATGTAGGAGTACTCATTGTGCAGAATAGCCCTGTACATACAGTAGGGTTATATTGCTGTGTACTATTCTACTAAATTAATCTTAGAATTCAAAGGGGCTAATGAGCACATTTTGTTAGCTTTCAATAGAATCAGGCTAGCTGTTACCCCCTGTCCTCAGTCTTTGTGCTAAGCTAAGCTAACTAACATTTACAGTAAGGATATGAGAGAGGTACCAACTGCCTAACTCTCGACAAGGGAGTGAATAGGCATATTTCAAAAAGTGCCTAACTGTTCCTCAAATCTAAAATGAACAAACCTTAACAACCAAACTCAACAATAGTTATTGTTTTGTTAATACATAGTGACATTTGTATTCGAGTTAAAAACTGAAATAAACGGTTTTCCTGATATTTATAATGACTCTTATAATGATTCCTAAAAAAGATTTCCTGTAAATTACAACAGCCACAAAAGTAAAGCCGATATCACAAGAAGCCAAAGATTTAATGAGCTATTGGCAGATGAATGGTTCTGTAGCTCCATCCCCTATTGAGATGTTTACCTCAGCTTATTAGTGCCCACACATAGTTAGAACCAATTATTATTGAACTTTAGGTAAAGTAGGATTTCAGTTGTCTTATCTTTTTTGTTCCGGCTGTCAGAATTATAGGTCAAATTTTTCCGTTTTTTTTAATAAGAAATGTAATTGTATTTTCATTTGTGTCGTAGTTATTATTCTGTATATTCAACAATGCAGAAAGTCTTACCATAATGATCTTAGGTGTTACTGTTGTTGGCATTCCAAGTATTTCCAAAAGAACCTTTCGACATTTCATCTGTGATGTTGATGACTGGTATTCCTCTGTGAAAAGAGGTGACAATTGAATCTCTCACATTTATGCGACAGAGTAAAATGTAGAGGAAAACTGTCATAATGTCCCTTTGCAAGTATAATACAACTTACTTGTACCCTTCTAATGGCACTTGCACTACTCCCTCGTCTTCCGCCATTATACTCTGCTCCTCCTCCTGAAAGTTTAATTACATACAGTTAAAATACATGTAAATATAAATCAAATTAAAATGCATGTTGTGGTGACGAGCGACTGCACCTCCTCAGCATCCTCGAGCTTCTTCTTCTTGCTCTCTGGCATGAGGTCATCCAGCCAGCTTAGCTCTCTCTTGGTGAAGAAACAGTCCATGAGCTTCCTGATGAACACCAGAGCCAACACCTGTAGAATTCACAACCAGAAACCTCTGAAAAATCCTACTTTTTAATAAAGAAGTATGATGCTCTGGAGATTTTGAATAATAAGAGGCTAACACAAGAGGTAATAACACAAACACGCCTTACTGAGCAGAAGAAAATACAGGACTAATCAGTTTAAAGAGTTTCAGTAAGGTCAGGGATGTAGTCGAAGGAGGTGTACATTAACCAATTTCTGGATGCACAGCAGCAGAAATCTACAGTTCTTCCGACAAAAGATATTAATGATACAGCATGATTTTCATTATGTTCAATCTGCTATTTTGAGAGGGTTCAGAATAAAGTGAATTGTTTGTTTTACTTCTAATAACTCCTGCATTAACCACAGTGTACATGGCATGTGCCTAATGGACCCCAGTGTTGAAAGGTATGCTGTGCTTGTGATGGTCAAAAAGTGAATAGTTTACACACCATCATGGGAAAGACAATGGCAGCTTTGGACGTCTTGATGACCCAGAGCAAAATCAAACAGGTGAGCTGGATGATGGTGAAGAGGTGCACCTTCCTCAGGGGCACATGGCGCAGATAGATGAAGTCTGGCTGGTGCTTAGCCGGCATGCCGAACAGTCTCAGACGGTCGAAGAGCTGGAGAGGAATGGTAGAAAAAGATGTTTAACTAGGGAAATATCTGGTTCCTTATCAGCTTAAGGCTATGATGTTCACCAGCTTGCATCAAACTGTGTATGTCTGTCAGTAAGTGCTGAATAGGTAGTGTGCATTGGATTTTTAGAGATTTTTTTTAAAGTAGCAACCAATGAAAACATCAACGTGAATGATGAGAGTGAACCAAAACAGTTAAGTCATAGGCCTGACAGCATAACAATAAACTGACATCTATTATGGTCTGTAACACCAAGAGTTACTTCAACTGTAGGTGATAATTATATGAAGGTTCATCAAGGTCAATTTTACATTGTCACGCTGTCATTAGATACATTATCAAGAAGCTGATCAATCAGAGACACTTTAAGTCTTCTTATCTTCATAATGCATAACTTGACAAGGGTTTTGACAACCTACATACACATAATGTCAAAGTGTTCCTGAATGTGATGAAAAAGGAATTGTTTGCCTCTTTAAGGTTATTATTTTCGCAGTGTTTTTGGCAACAGAAAGCTTATACAATATGAAGTGACCGCCTCCGGGATCGATAAGCAAACATCCAGCTAAACGTTTGTGCCTGCTGACTGTGTGCCTACAACAAGCTGGAAACCCTTGAAAAGCATAAAAAATACCCTTTTTGCAATCAATGCCTTTGAGTGTTTGTCTTGAAACCCAATAATAGAAAGTACTTTAAAGTGAAGAAAACAAAACTAAAAGGGGGCAATTAAATACCAGCCAGGTGTTCTGTAAATGCTGGGAACACACTAGAGTCCAATTAACACTTTTTATCTGGGCAGCCAGACAATATGGAGGCGCTCCCCTATCATGGCTCGGTGAGAATTAACTGTCTACACAGATTATTGGAGGTTGAAGCATCCACAAATTAAAATGTAACCACACTGGCCAATTTATTCACACTGGCCAACTGTCTGTTTAATCTCATGTCTAGATTATCTGCATGTGCAATGAGTCTATTTACAACCCAAATGCTGCCGAGAGTATCACAATTGGGTGGTGTTGGTATTCAGTCTGTTTCCATGCATAATGTGGGCATTAAAACTGAGGAACTGTGCATTTATCTGTGTGATGGAATTCATTTTTTAAATAAGTCAGATATATTAATTCCACTTCAATCACAGAGTCTGTCATACCAAAGGTCATATGAGAAATATATTGTATCCTTGTGTTTCCTCATGTAACGAAACAAGTGAGCAAAAAACAGATGCATTAAAAACAATGAAATTATAATAATTGTACCTGAATGCCTCTGAGAGAAGAGGCTCCCATGTAGAGGAATACTCCGTACAACACAGGCATAGGAATGAACTGAGGAACGATACAAATGCTGTGTCAGAAACATGGATTTGCTCAGTAACTGCTTTATTTAAGCAGACCACTCAGTGATGAATATGGAACAATAGCAGAGAGATACTTGACGTGATGAAAAAGATGGTGTCTGACCTTCAGCACAGAGGTCATGAAGACAGAGCAGCCCATGAGGGTGAAGATCATGAGGCCGGTGAAGCGCTGCTCTCTGATGCCGAGGAACTTGGGCTGCTCCCCGGGAGCCGAGCACTCCGACTCCAGTTTCAGGCTGTTAACGTGGCTGATGGAGAGGACGGTGGCCGCCACGAACCACGGCAGGCCCATTAAAGAGCACACACCAAGCATCACCCCCACGATGAACAGATCCAGGTGGTACCCACAGCCTTTCTGAAGGGGGAAAGCACCAGTAAATATCTTTGATTCAGACATCCTGGGGGTCTGTATGATGCAAGGAATCCTAGAAATGAAAGTACCTTGAGTTTGTGTTCCTTCCTGTTAATGATGACGGCTGTGATTTGTTGGTCCATGAAGATGAGGATGGTACACAGCACGGCTGGGAACACCGTAATAATTGCCGTCCACCAGGGGTTAGGCCCAAGAGGATTAATGAACCAACCTCGATCATCTCTGGTTGGCTGAGAAAATAAAAACGATTGTTGTTGGTTAAACATCATGAGTAGCTTGATAGAAGATAACACAATTCAGCAGTGTGTTGATCAAATCTTCTTTTGTGGACTAGCTCACCTTAAACACACTGGGAACCTTTAGCTTTGGAGAAGGGATCCCTAAGGCATAGTCGATTAAGACCATGGTAAGGATGGCGAAGCAAACAGCAAAGTCGCTGATGATGGCTCTGACCTGATTAAGAGGAAAATGTGTCAACAATCATTCAGTTTGTTTTTTACAGGAATAAAACCCATCACTTCATCAAAAGTGTCCTAGTTTCTACTATGCAGTACCTGTATTTGACCACTAGAGTGTACCACTGCACTTTGCAGCTGTAGAAGCTTTAGTCTTCATTCTTGATACATAATTCCCTCTAATGTAGTGATAATGTGTGAGAAATATTACCTTTGTGGGAAAGTAATTGCTGAACTTGAACTCCTTGAGGAAGGCGGACAAAAAGATGGTTGAAAAGAAGAGAATGACGCACCAGAAGAGGACATCGGGTATGTAGGGGCCTTTAGGGCCGCAGGCACTGCCCACAAACTCTCCCCGCTTCTCAATACAGTCCTGCAAATAGAGGGCCAGAATTATTCAGTACATGAAAACCAATTTACACAAACTATACAGGGTACAAAAATGTGCTTTTATAGTGATTGGCAATGACGAGTAATCCAATATAACCCAGACCAAATGCGCTTAATCCCCCCTGTTCAGATTTCTACATCTGGGAGGGCATGCCACTTCAAGGGGGAAGATCTAAATGCAAAGTATTCTTTTCAGTTTTTCCTATTGCAGCTCAATAACTCCTCACAGCTGCCAATAGACGTGTGGTGTTTAGCCTGCATGTCTTAAAGTGTGTGTGTGTGTGTGTGTGTGTGTGTGTGTGTGTGTGTGTGTGTGTGTGTGTGTGTGTGTGTGTGTGTGTGTGTGTGTAAAACCTCCATGATTGACAGATTTGTTTTTTGTCTGACTTTTTCGAACCAGCTCCTGTTGGTAGTACCTTGGTCTCCAGTGCTTCCCAGTAGATTTCTGAGGCAGTGACATTAGTGTTCTCCCAATACTTCAGGGTAGCATTGGTGGGGTCAGAAGGTTCCACACATGAACATCTGCGGAGGCACATGAACATCTGGGTGAATAAATAATCCCCCTGGGATTTACAGTACCTCTAAGGAATGTTTTTAGTAATTACACTTTTTTTGAACAAGGTATCATGTGAGAATAATTGTCCACATACGAGTACATGGTGAGTTTGTCCAGGTTGTTGTTCTTGTTAAAGGGATAGTGATCCCCCAGGTGGATGAGTTTCTCCAAGGCCTCGTAGATGAAGATGATGCAGATGAGTGAGGCGAAAGCTTCCTCTGTGAAACGTGTGATGTAACAAACCAGAGTGCTGGCATCTGTAGCCACCAGCACCATACAGAGGAAAGCTGTCCACAGACCAATGCAGGTTCTCAGAGACAGATAGGACAAGCCATACTCCCTATGTGCAGATTAAAGAGGGGAAATCAATGTGGGGCAGATTGGAGATCACATTGTCCATGTAGTCAGAACATCAAATGGGAGACCAGATGTTTGTGAGATGATTTATCCTGAAATGATCTCACAGAGAGCCGGGAAACATCAGACAATGTAATCACCAAAGTGTAAAATAGATAGAATTAATTTAATGAAATTATTTCCATATACAGTCATATGAAAAGTAATCATACTTGCAGAATTTGAACAATATCTTTTCAAAAACCAGCACTGGCCCTGTGCTGCCCAGAATGGTGAGGGGCTGTCCTGCAAACAGCGAATAGGCGATCCCAGTCAGCGAGGCTCCGAACAGCGACTCAATCGCACTCTGGGGGATGGGAGACGATAAAGAGATAAATAGAGTACCTTACATATCTGATATATTGGACAACAACAGTGTTCCGCTAGTCTTGGCAAACACTGTAAACATTTAAAGGAAGAGCTAATCATTTACTATGCGTCCTTCTGTTGCCTCGCCCAGCAGTCCCCCGAAGGTGATGACAGGTGACATGCAGGCACAGTAGAGGAACAGGAAAGAGGCCACACACTGTAAACTAAAAGCATCAGTGTAGTCGGACAGGTAGCAGGGGGCCTTGCGCTTGATGTCTAAAAGTAGACCACCAAACCACCTGGAAAATACAAAAATAAATGTGTTACTGTGTGATTTATTCACACGTTAAAATGTAATTGCCATAGATACTCTATTTCTTTAAAGAGCAGTAGCCCTCCAATGCCGTTTTCATGATGCCGTTTTCAACTTTTAAGTCTGGCTCAGTGTGATGGGCCTCTATGATGGAAAAATCGAGCAACAAAAAGACATATCCTGGCAGGATGTTTCTATGGAGACCACATTATGAGACCAAAACCAAGTTTACACAGAAGTAACATAGAGTTGAGTGTAGCAAAGTGCTGGCTTTACTGGATTCATTTTAGAACAGTCTGTGTACATATTATGTGTCTACAGAGGAAAAACTCTAAAAAAAATTATCTTTTTAAAAAAGAAATGCATTAAATCTTCCAAATGCAGGCATTATTTAGTGCCATATGTTGTAATGGATATATGAAACACATATTTTTAACTCAGAGCACTGAACATAACTGTTTTTAAAGAAGCAGACTTACAAAATCCCATAATGTACTCAACTGCAAATTCTCTCAAGCTAACTTTGCACACATCAAAAATCATAATAAATTATGATTTGTGAGGCTTTGTAGGCTGAGTTGTCCAAATGCAAATAGATTCTGTGCAACCAAGTAGTGAGCGTAGTGAGTGGGCTGCATCCTGTACTGCCACAGCACTGCAGTATACTGACTGAGAGGCACTGATTTATGTAAATGTAAATAATATTTCTACACCTCTGTAAGACTTCGCACTCTTTTACTGGTGCCAGGATTTACTTTTAACAAAAGCACTGCCCGTTCTGTGATCCCCCACCTGCCAGTACGCTGCAGCTCTGGACCCCCGTGTCCATCTTCCTCCTCTTCCTCTTCGCCCTCTACTAATCCGTTGGGTAAATTGCTACATTTCTTCCTCTTCTCCTGTTTGACAAACAAATCCACAGCAGTTGCATTATTTAGAACCACATCACATACCTCATTCACACCAACGGTGTTTCAGGGCCGGTTCGGAGCTGGAGCTTTAAGAGCACCGGGTTTTCCTGTTCACACCGCAGCGGAGCAGCCTCTTAGCTCCGGAATCCGGTTCATTTCGAGAACCAAAAAATTGTCAGATATGACAACTGTGACCTCTGCCTTGCAGTTCCCAGACATCTGGAGAGGCCCTGAGTCTCTGGCTTCCCCTGTTAATTGCAAAA